GTCTGATGATGAAACTTGAATTTAGAGAGACTCGTAGAAATAGCTTTTGTTGTAAATGTGTTTGTATGCTTAAACGTATGCTTAAGTGATTTTGTTAACAGCACAACGTTGGAGTCTTGGAGAGTTTAAATTATTGAAAAATGTAAGCTTGCACAAAATGGAAATGAAAGTCTGAAAATGTATGAAAAATTGAAAACTATAAACAAAAAAAATAACTATAACTGTAAAATGAGTACTAACAAAATATGAGTGAGATAAAAATACTAAAATAGTAGCCTTTAATTTATTTATTTTGTCAGAGATAAATCTATTTTATTTATAAATTTTGTTCCATTATTCCCACAAAATCAGTTAATTTGCTTTTTATAGTTTTTCGGCGCAATAAATGGTGAAATTCGAGTGAGAAAGTGTTAAATAAATGAGGCCGTCAACAGTAATTTAAATACAAAACTATTTGCACTTCTCAGTGACTCTCTCTCTCTCGCTCTCTGTAAACCCTAAGCAAAAAGACGATGCCGGGTCCGACGACGGAGGTCGAACCCATTGAGCCACAGTCGCTGAAAAAGCTCAGTCTCAAATCCCTCAAACGAGGACTCGATCTTTTCTCTCCCGTCCATGGCCAATTCGCTCCTCCTGATGCGGAAGCGTTAGTCTCCGATCCCCAATTTTCATTTCTTATCCTCTTTTTTAGATATTTATATGAATTCGTCTCTGTTTTTTCTTTCTTGCAGCAAGAAGATTCGTCTCAGCCATAAGGTAATCTCTTTCTGTAAACCCTTCTTTGGAATTCCGTTTTCTACTATTCGCTCTTATATCTATTGATTGGATTGTTTAAAGTTTCGAACTTTAGGTTTCAATTTCTATAGTTAGCCTTTGAATTCTCCCATTTACACATCTCTACCAATAGTGGTTTAATTAGCAGGTTTTTAACCCAAAATCTAGAATCATCAAAGCTAATCAAGATGTTTGATTTAACGTTATTAGTTGAGTAAAATAATGATTTTCAGAAGTTTTCTTGTACAGATGAAAGTTGCATTTGGAGGCGTAGAACCCGTGACTCAACCACCACGTCAGCCTGACCGCAGCAACGACCAGGCAGGAACTTCAAATGCTCTTGCTCTCCCAGGTCTAATATTCATACCACCTGTTTTGCTTATGTTGGTGAAAGATAGAAAACTAGTTTCATATTTCCTATTTCAACTTTGCAGGTCCTGAAGGGTCCAAGAGTATTCAGAAGGGTGTGACAGAGAGTGCGCTTGTTGTTGGTCCAACTTTACAGCCAAAGGGCTTGTAAGTATTACCTTTTACTCTTGGCTTTGTTGATCTGGATGCTAAAAATTTATGCTTCTACTTTATCGTGAGGATGCTGATAAAGATATTTTGGTTCTTGATTGAAGGAACGGTATTGGTCCCTCTGGCAAAACCACCACCATTATTCCTGGAAATGTATCCTCGTATGAAAGGTATTTTTGTCCTTTTCTTCTTCATCTGGATTGCAATATATAGATGGCATCCTGAGATCGTGTAGGTAGTTCACAGGCATACAAATTAGACTTCCCGGGACCTGAAAGTTTGTTAGCTTGTACCTATACGGTAGTTTCTCATTCTGAGTCTTTCTGTTGTTACAGAAATTATTCTACTGCTGCATTAATGGAGAGAATACCGAGTAGATGGCCTCGCCCAGAGTGGCATGCACCATGGAAGAATTACAGGGTAAGATCTGTGGCTCAGAAACATTGCTGCATCACGTCGATTTTGGCCTTTTCTTGGTCTTCAAAATGCTCTCTTTAGTCTTTATTCATCTGAGGCGTTTCTTGACTTGTCCTTAATTATTTATTTTCACAGGTTATTCAGGGGCACTTAGGTTGGGTCAGATCTGTTGCATTTGACCCGAGTAATGAATGGTTTTGTACTGGTTCAGCTGATCGTACCATCAAGGTATAGAGATGAACATCATTTTGGCACACCGCTTCATTTGCTTCTTCAGTGTGAATTGTATATTCCCGAAACTAGTTTCTAGTTCTTTGACGTAAATATCTTCGATACAAGAATTTCATTCTTTGAGTAGTTTATGGAACTTTAGCTGCACTTTAGAGTGTTGCATCAATCCTGAATGTATTACACACTTGTTAAATTGGCTTACTTGTCTTGTATTCACTAGATATGGGATGTGGCAACTGGAGTTCTGAAGCTAACACTTACTGGACATATCGAGCAAGTACGAGGTTAGCCTCTTAAACTTCGTCCAGTTCATTTGTTAGACGTCTCAATAACTAACACTCATGGAATAAGTTATAAGTTGGGGTTTCCTTTCTGTAAAAATTTTGTTACAGGCCTTGCTGTAAGCAATAGACATACATATATGTTCTCTGCTGGTGATGACAAGCAAGTCAAATGTTGGGACCTTGAGCAGAATAAGGTTACAGCTCTATTATCTTCCGTATCTTAACTTCTCAAGTTCTCATAGCTAAATGCTCTTTTATTTGGCTTTGATAGGTTATTCGGTCTTATCATGGTCACTTGAGTGGAGTCTATTGCTTAGCTCTTCACCCAACTTTGGATGTTTTACTTACCGGAGGGCGAGACTCTGTCTGCAGGGTAAGAAAGTTACTGAAATACTGAAAATATGTATCCCGTTTGTTTATTAGCATATGTATTTGCTGCTCCTTTGATACTTGAGCTTCTCTGAATATGTGGTTGAAAAGGTCCATTTTTTCTTGTTTGCAGGTGTGGGATATTCGTACTAAGATGCAAATTTTTGCACTCTCAGGACATGACAACACCGTTTGTTCTGTTTTCACTCGTCCAACAGTACGTTTCTTTTCATATGAACTTGTCTTTTAGGATTTTTGGAGCACTTTCAGAATCATTTTTATACTAGTAACTTGATGTTGCGTTATCTGTGATTTTCCAGGATCCACAAGTTGTCACCGGATCCCATGACACAACCATTAAATTTTGGGATCTCCGATATGGTATATCTTACCATTCAAATCCGTAATTTTTTTAGTACCAGCTGGTGCAAGTAGATGGTTTCATTTGATAATTGTTGGATTGTCATATGCAGGCAAAACGATGACGACTCTAACACATCATAAAAAGTCTGTCCGAGCAATGACGCTCCATCCTAAAGAGTATGTGTCGTTGCATTGCGTCCGCTTTATCTTTCCAACAAAAGAGTCTTTAAGATGCAACTATTACTAATGTTATCTCTCTGTTTTTGGTTTTTAGGAATGCCTTTGCTTCTGCATCAGCTGACAACACCAAGAAATTTAGCCTCCCAAAGGGAGAGTTTTGCCACAACATGCTGTAAGTGTCTCTCTACTAGATAAATATATATCCTATTCTTTCCATTTGTAAATTATACAGTTTCAGTTTTCTGATGTGTTTAACTAATGTTGTCTTTCTCCGAGGCACAGTTCGCAGCAGAAAACCATAATAAACGCAATGGCTGTGAACGAGGATGGTGTAATGGTCACCGGAGGTAACAAATTTAATTTATGAACCTTTTTTATTGTTGTTCCGTACCTTCATTATCATTTTTGACTAAAACTGAGTCTATCTATTTGTATGAATGAAGGTGATAATGGAAGTATATGGTTCTGGGACTGGAAGAGTGGTCACAGTTTCCAACAGACAGAAACAATTGTACAGCCTGGTACGTATATTCACATAGCTTGTTTCATGTTCCTTTGCTCTTGATCGATCTGCTTGTAAGGTAATTGTACAAGTTTCTCAGTATGGTAAATTACAATAAAATATCTTGATCAAGACCCAAGTGTTGGAAGTGTATGCTTAAAGCCCTAAAGAACGATAATCAGGCCTCGGTTGTTTCAAAAGCAATAGTAATGGGATCCTAATTAGTGGTGTTGTTTTGGCATATGGGCAGGTTCACTGGAGAGTGAAGCGGGTATATATGCAGCATGTTATGATCATACAGGTACGAGATTGGTAACATGTGAAGCTGATAAGACGATAAAGATGTGGAAAGAAGATGAGAATGCAACTCCAGAAACTCACCCAGTCAACTTCAAACCACCAAAGGAGATTAGGCGCTTCTGATAAGCTCTTTTACATTTGTATCTCTAAAACTACTGTTGGAATCTCAGTAAGGCTTCATGATTCTGTTTTCTTGAAGTTTTACAATAGTGCCTTTGTTTTTGGTGAGGAAATAGGGCCATGTCTTTAATGTTTTTTAAATCATTTGTAATTTATTCTGTTAACAATAATAATAGTTCTTGTACTTTTACGTTTTAAGAATACTTGTTTACCTTTCTCTTCATCTCATAGTTTTCGCTTCTTCGAGCAGATTAAAGGCTTGATTTATAGAATATGTAAATGATGAACCTACAATTTTGTTTAAGCTATAGGTTATCAAGCAAAACGACCTATGGATGAGTCTAATGCGATCCAAGATGAATAAATACGACGAAGTAATAAAATCAATTATATAAAGGAAAGCAAATAATTGAATGGGAATGATCATCGTTTTTACGATGACACCTGTGGTTTTGTTATGATATGCAAATGACACGTCTCATATAAATCATCAGATCTCACCGAACTTCTCTTCAGATTTTTTGTATCGATATTACTTGTTTATTCACAGATCTTTACAAAACTTTTACTGCAAGTATAGTGGAATTGTTTTTTGGGTTTTAAAGTACATCTCAAACTCAATACAAACAACCGAAGTAAAACCAACGAGGAGTTACATTACATTTCACATTTTACCCCCTCTGGGACCCAACAGGCCCATGAGCCCAAACCAATTTCCCTCCCGTGGTCTATATAAGGCGTTTAACCCAAAGCACTAAAGATTCCTGCAACCATCACCGGAGAATCTGACGGCGGCTTAGTTAGCACCGGCGGCTACTGCAAGAGGATTGTTTTCTTCTAAGGGTAAATCCTTACCTTTGGAAGAATATAACGTCTTTTGCGGCAGCTAAAAGCTAAGCTCACAATATATATTACAAGTATTCAAATATCTAAATAAGAAAATGGCCGCTCGTTCACTCTCCGGCGCCGTCAAATCCCTTTGCTCCGCCGCATCTGGCAATCTTTATGGTTCCACTGTCTTAAGGTACTATCGGTTAAAATGATCCGTCTGTTATCATTTTAAGTTACCACATGCTAATAAGATGCACACTCTTTATTTGCTAGACCATGCACTATTTTATACTCTGATCAAAAAGTAATGAAACTAATTTAACTCATCCAAAAATTTATACAATTCTAAATTTCAAATTAAAATTATGAAACTGCGAATGCCGAGTATACGGCTAAAGATTGATCTATCATATAGACACGTGAAACACTTTGATATATTTTACCCAAAAAGAAAAGCACATCGATCTCTTTTTATATCACATAAATCCAATAATTTGAGTATTTGTTTCGTCACAGTAATCTTTACGATAATATGCATGATGTAGATCTGAACAAGAAGGAACACTCAACTTTTCTATAACGTTAATAATCGTATATAATGTTGTTACCTACAAAAAGAAGAAATATCGCAAAAATAAATTTATATATGTCGTATGGTTCTTGCCTTCTTGGATGTAGGAGGAGTTACGTAGCGACATCAGCTCGGAATGTGGCGGCAGCAGGATTCACTAAGGCAAGTCCCACAGGGGTTATGGTGGGGAAGATGGAACAAAGAGCTGCGATGAGAGGAGATGAAGACGCAGAGTCTGCGTGGGCTCCAGATCCAGTCACGGGATACTACAGACCCTCCAATGTTGCAGATGAGATTGATCCAGCGGAGCTCAGGGAGATGCTTCTGAAAAACAAAGCCAAACCTTTCTGAGGATTTTGATTGTTTGGCTCCACTCGAGGCTTGTCGTAGTGTATCCCGTTTGTTATGTAACTTGTTGTTGTCTAATCACTTATCTACTTGATTTCAAAGTAAAAATAAAGATACATAATATCAACCATTTCAAAATATATATTTGGATCGAGTTGGTATATAAACATAAGATCCTGTTTATATAAGATCTATTTATACATGTTATATAGTATATGGTTTGCATCCAATATTTCAGATAATTTGTCATTTTCACTTTCCAGTAATGGAAAAACATAACTAAGATGAACATATGTACTCCTGTAGACATCTTCCTTTGGAACTAAAGACATCAAGTCTACCCGATGGTCCTCTTTCAGATATTGTCAAAATATCTACCAGATATTGTCAAAACATGTTTTTCAAATCTACCAGTAAAACAAAAATTAATTAGTTACCGACTGTCAAATGTTCTGAGCCAAAGTCTAAGTCCGTATATTCACATATATCCCGAACCTCAATATGTAAGATATTAGTTATGTCCCAAACATCACATGTGATCTCTAGGCATTGCCTAAAACTTTTCTAGCTGAAGTAATTATGTCACTTGGTAAAAAACAAGATAATTTCATTGTCGGATTATTTTGTTTCCATCTCTTGTAGTTTGTTGACAACATCATTAACAACAAAGACCTTGTAAACTACGAAGGATCCTATAGTTACTACATATATTTGTATATTTCTTTCTTCTATTTAAGTTAAATGATAATGTTCTGGAGGTTGAATTTCATGAAAGAGGCTTTTAACAGTCGTCTAGTCGATGTTGGATTAATGTTACGCGCGGCTAGACGATTCACGTGCTGGTGAACTATTTGTTTGGCTTACATTTTCTAATTTATGTACGAAACATGATTCATAACAAGAAATAGCTTTTAGAAAAAGAAAAAAAAAAACATGTAATACAATCCTTTTCTATCATATCGTCAACTTAATCTATTTTGGTTCAAAAAATAACGTACGTACACAAAACTGCACACCACAAAAAATCGAAAAAATATATGAAGATTTATTTATAAAGACCCCAATCGGACATGAACACTCGCGAAGAAATAAAAAAAAAAAAAAAATTTAAGATGGTTTGTTGTAAATTTTACAAAACGGAGAAAATTTGGGATTAAGAGAGGAGAGGAGCTCGTGATGTGAGTCCTTCCTCTTCATCTGCAGCAATCTCACTTGATGATCCGTTGCTTAAACCGACCGGTTTGGCATTTCTATAAATTCCATATAGTATGAGTTGCATTGTCCCAAACACAAACCCTACTCCATTTGGCACCTACTCCATTTAACCACATATAAATAATTGATTAACAATAATAAACACACAATTATCAACATAATTAAATTCAACGGCTATCCGGAATCTCAAAAAGACGCATTTGCAAACGACCCCACAAAGTTTTGTTGCATATTTAGACCAGACGCTTTAAACAAAAGTTTAGTGTTGGAGACTTTGAGTCCACAATTTTATCTCATTCATGCATAAATCAAAATTTTCTTTCAAAAGATTGTTTTCTTATAAAATGTGTGGCGTGACATTTGACAATGACACAACGGAGTTGAGTTAATTACTTGAATAGGGTGTCAAATAAACCCACAAAATATTTTGGGGTTATTGTTGGAATATTGAAAAAAACATGGGGTCGGTGAAATAGCTTATTTTTATGACATTTTCTGACTTGTCCATTATTAGAGACTAGCAGTCACTGGAACAGTAAAATAATTATGTGAACAAAACAGTAAAACGTTACTTACGAGTAGAAAAACGTCGTGTTGGAGTGAAGCATAAACGCCCCAAATCGCGCCGTTTAAGAAGAGGAAAAACGACAACCAGAACGGCATGTATTTCACACTCTTTGTCGTCACTACTGTTTTCTGCAAAGTAATTTACAAGACACACCAGTTAGTATATGATATCATATCAGATGATATTGTGATAAGCTCAACATATTATTCTATATACTTTTTCTGTCCTGAAATATAAAAATAAAATGTACGTATGTCTTTTTGTAAGATTTGAATTAATAGTGGACCCGCCAAGCCATGGTTGCATTATTAGCTGGAAACAAAATTAAATAAACATGTAGGGTACATGTTATGACATATACAGGGTGACAAAAGTGACGTTTATTATTCATATACAAACGTGAAAAAATCTAATGACGTACAAGTTATATAATTGATATGTGACTGCGATTTTTTAAAGTCGTTTGTGTGCTTAAAAATGCCATATGGTGGTTGGTTTTATGATGATTGCACGTATGAACGAAAACAACCTTTATTTCCCAATAAACGTTACTAAAATGACCAACTACCACCAAATTTCACTACTGACCTTATTTCCGAAATATAAACTATAAACTAAAAGAAAAAAAAATCAATGAGTAAACTACAAAAGCAAAATAAATCATTATGTTTTCATACAAATTTTTAGGTTTCATACCATTATATATGGACGGCTAATATTTAGGTTTCAAAACGTGTGTAATATAAAATAACTAAACGCAGTATTATATAAAATTTGGACAGATATGTGACAATGAAGGATGAACTTACCATAGCAGAAAGAGGAGAACCATACATGATAATGTTGAGACCAGCACATATGAAACCCATCGACTGAGAACGCGTTTTCTCATCTTTGAACGCACTTCTTGTAGCCGCAATCGCTACGATCGGGAAAAACACGTTTAAAATCGCCACCACTAGGATTGTATTCAACTGTAGAAGAAAAAGAAAAACATTTACATCAATCAAATGCTTGGTATATGTATAAATACATTAGAAACTCTACTTTACAAGTCATTCTAGTATATATCTAATAACAAGTGGATCATATTTTAATCAACTTGACTTTTAAAAAAGAAGGTGATATAGAGAAATGATCACCAGATCCAAATCTGAATCAGAATGCAGATTTTAACCAGCTATCATATAAGAAACACAGAAGATCACATATAAAATAAAAACCTTAAGATGTCGAGGAGCATAAAAGAGAAAAAGTGAGACATAGATGATTTCAACAAGAGCACCAAAGCCATTGACGGTGGAGACAAGATATTCTCCGGGAGTGACGATGCCGTAATATGTCCATAGCGACGATCCTAACAACGTGCAAATATACGGCAAGCTTTTGTACTCCTCCGTCGATTTTCGCTTCACTATTTTCCAAAATGTCTCCCTGAAATTTCATATGTATATTTGGCCCGACCAATCAGTAATCGAAATATATAAAAAAAAACTATATATTATACAATTTTGTTACTTCTTCCAAAATAACCATCAAGACATTTAGAGATAAGAGAGCTCACACTGGTGAAAGAAAGACAAGTACGGAGATTACATTTCCTGCGGCAACACAAATTATGAGGAGAAATTGTCAAGTACGGTATCTATATTGTTACCGACAAACATATTCTGAAGTTACACGTGTGAAGAAGTGTTACCTATGACTCCGATATAGAAACTTGGCTCTGCCATTTCTGAAGAAAAGAGTTTCTAGAGAAAAAGAGAGAAAAAATAGAAAATGAGAGAGAAAGAGAGAGTGTGTGTGTGAGAGAGAGGGAAGAGGAGGCTACTTAATTTGGGGGAAACGTGACTTTTAGTTTTATATTTGACATATTGCTTGTACTTTGTATTTTATTTGATCACACTATAATGCACTTGTGTATTTTGACCTAAACAGATATGAAGAAAAACAAAATAAATGAGTTGGGATAATCTAAAAGAGATAAGGGCAGTTCATGTTCCTCTGAAATTGAAGCATTTTCCATGTTATTGAATAAGTTTAGCGGACTTTACTATCAACTATCAACCTTTGATTGTAAGAAGACCCACATGAAGAAACGACGAACCTTTTACAACTAATTCTTTGTGATTAATTGAAAAATAGTAAAACAAATCGTTTCTTCATAGAGTAAACCAACTTTAGGATTAATCTGTATGAAGAAACGATGTGTTTTCCTATTTTTCAATTAATGTATATATAGATATGGACAGTGTTAATTAAATTAACACATGTGCCATGTGGTAGATAAGACCAAAGTCGTACCTACATACACTCTACATCTCTTTAAAAAAAAAAAAAAAAACTATCTTTTACTTTATGTGGTAAATTTTTAATTTCGTTCCTATTAAAAAGAGTGATTCAAGTTTTCTTGAATAAATTGATTTTTTCTAAAAGTAGTTATTTTGTTGTTAATCAACGGAAAGCAAGGATATAATCGGTATCACACGTTGAGATGCTCCACTTTGGTCGCAACTCGCAAGTAACTTCAACCACAACCCTCTATGATTTTGATGTCACTTTCAATCTTTCTCGACTAACCAGTAACCACCTATATTTTATTTTCTAATTTGATTGCACGTCTCTTTAAAATCAATAATTAATGATACATATTGTATGTATATACGGAATTACGGATGACCAAGAAAGATCAGTGAAATCGGATTTAGAAAGAACTAAGAGAACATGTGTGACGGTCAAGGAGACGAGGACCTTTAGGTTGGTGGCTAGGTCATTTTGTAAGCAAGTTGAAAGTAAAATGACGCAAAATTTGGAGTAGTTTTTATTTTGGGTCGACTCTTGTTCATATACGTTTTGGAAAATCAAAATCTTAACATTATTAATTTATTGAGGTGATGATTGGTTCTCCCGCTACCACCCGCAAACGCAGCGTTTGCGGTTCGTAGCGGTTCTTAGCGTTTTATAACAATCACGACAACCGCTTTCAACCGCTCTATACCACTCTGTACCGCTCTATATCGCTGAAAATCAAAAGCTCCTTTCCGCAAGCGTTTGCGGTTGCGGGCGGTTGCGGTTTGAAAAAAAAAAAAAAAAAACATAATATCTCCAAATTTGGAATAAGGGTATATTTTTTTGAAAAATACCATAATTATGTTTAAAAATTTCGAAAATACCCTAAATTTTTTCTGTTTTGAAAAATACACTTTTAAAATGTAAAAAGTATGTTTTGACGTGATTTAAACAAAAAAATAATAAATAATTACAAATTATAAACGAAAATTTAAAAAAATAATAAACTAATAAGTTTTTTTTCAAATAAATATAGTATATGTTAAACTGAAACAAATTTTAATATTTTGGATCTTTATATAAACAACTTAACCTCATACACATTCAAACCAAATGAAACTTTAAATAAATTAAAACTTTACATATATTTAAAGTTTATAAATTATTAAAAATTTAAAAGTGGAGAAATATATCTTTCATTTTTAATGTTTATCTTTTGAAAAATTTAAATATTTTTGAAACTTTGCATAAACAACTTTAATCTCACCCCATTTAAACTTTATATAAACAATCTTATATTTTTATTAAATTGTTTAAAAAAAACTAAACAGGTAATTAGGATGTTAAAATGATACAAAATTATTATCAAATATTAATATTTTATATTTCTTATTTGAATTTCGTTTTTATTAAATTAGGAATAATCATTTTACATATAAAAAGTGTATTTTTCAAAACCAAAAAAAAAGGGTAGTTTTCAAATTAAAAATTCATCAAAAAATATATTTCAAAAAAAAAATTATTAATATGGTTATAAATGTTTTGAATAATTATATATTATTTTTATTTTAGTAACTTTTGGTTAAACCGCTCTTGCACCCGCTGGCTAACCAGTCAAAAATATCCCGCAAACGCAACCGCTATGAATTGCTATACCAGTCGTACAAACAGCTTTTAATCGCAAACTCCCGCTTCCGCAAACTCCCGCAGCCGCAAACTCCCGCAACCGCAACCGCAGCGGTTAAACCAGTCAGACCCTGAGTTTTTATTGTTTACTCTGAATCACTCTATAATTAACCCAGTCAGATGAAAAAAAAGAAAGGTTATATTTCCACCCAATAACGAACGCTAGTGGATCCATTACTCCACATTTCTGTAGAGTAAAATATTTTGTTTTTGTTTTTCACTTATTTACTCTAATTATCAATTTTATTTCTCTCTCATTTACTCTGATACCAATTACTCCAAATTACTTGTTTACCATTCACACTCAAAAACTTTAATTTTACTCTACAAATCAAACAGGAAACAGCTGGCCAGACTATTAAAAACACAAGTAATGTAAGTCATCTGAAAACGAGAAAAAGACCATCATGCCGTTGTGATGTTCTACTATTAATTAACCGAGAAGATAAAACCAAATGAACAACACATGAATTTGCAAGTTTACAACTCCTTTCACATTTATTAAGACTATGTGAATATTCACGCATTTGAACGTTTTTGTATTTCTTTTTGGTTAAGTGTAGATTTTTTATAGATATTATTTTGTACTATAGTTTTCTACCGTATTTACAATTTTCTAATCTGATAATATTAAAATTTAAGTGTTTTCAGTATTTTTATTTATATGTACCCTTCTATAAACTTGTTTTCCTAAGATCAGCATATAATCCACATATTACTCATCAAATTTATATCATTTTGACGGAAAATCAATTTTCATTGTCATGAAAAACTAATTTCAAAGAAGTCTGACTGTATTTCTTGAGATAACAATATACTTCTTTCCTTTCTTTAAGATAATTTTTCTAGTTTTTTTCGCAAATATTAAGAGAAAAAATAAAGTTTAATCATAAATATATTGTTTAAATTTATAAATTAAAAAACTTTAAACCAATAGTAATGCAAGAAACATAACTATTAACATTGAAATTTGTTTTTTTTTTTTTTTTTACTTTAATATACTTCAAAAACTTATAAATTTATCTTAAATGAGAGGGAGTATAACTTAACCAGGTTCTAACATTAAAACCAACACACAAAAAAAAATCAGGTTCGCTTGATAGATTTTAGGGTTAATTTATTGTATAACAATATTGGGAATAAAATGAAGAATATAGCCATGCTAATTGAAAAATTAAGAAACTAACAAAGAGAAACAAAATTTGGACAGTTCTCTCCTTCTACAAGCGCTTTAATTTCTATTCCACCCTAAAAAAGCTGAAACTTTGCCCTCCGAAAATATTTTGTTAAGGCGTCGCTTATCAATGTCAACATTCGTTCATTAGATCAAATAAAACAGTTTCAAATGAAATAGAACATTCTTGAACTGATATGATCGATGATATCTCTACATATAGCATCAGAGACTAGGATTCTGTGTATGAGAAGAAATAACCTGCAAAACTGTTAAACAGTATAAAATTTATAAGCGAAAAATAGTATAGGATTTATAGGTGAAAAAAATGAGAATTCAAAAGCTTTGAATTACAATGTTACATGATGAGATTCTTTGAAGCAATACGAGGAGGTTTATGGCGGCACCGATCACACTATTCTCTTTAATTTAATTTAAGCTTTGAATCAAAATAGTAAAGAATTTATAAGTCATGAGCACATGAGTTTTTATGGATCTCTTTTCTCAGTTTAAGATCAGAATAGAATATTCTTCGAGCCCAGATTATGATTCAGAAACTTGATTTCTTGTTCTTGTCGAGAGAAATTTCTAGTTTCTTCACGTTTAAGTTTGTAGAAGACTAATCATCTTCTTTTTAGCAGAAATCAACTCACACGACTTTATGTCTAAATCATTTGGAAATCTTAGAAAACTGAAGAAGAATCTGGAAAGTTTTTATGAAGAACAAGATCTATACAAAAACCAGCATCCTTTTTTCTTCCGGAGACCTAATTTCTGAATAGAAATGGTTTCTCTCTCCTTCAGGGAGAATCTTGGTATTATTTCACAAAATACACCATGTATCCTAACCATGGTCTTATTATTGTTAGTTACTTAATTTCCCAACTCAATATTGTCATCTACTGCAATTTCCCTAGATTTTATCTTGTACCCATTTTTTTTTAATTTAAAATTGTTATATATTTTAAGATTTTGAAATTTATGGCTCTTGTTATGCATAATTATAAAATAGTTAGGATTTAAAGTGTTTAAAGAAAATGCTGGAGCTTTGTGCTTAATTACACAAGTTATCAGAAAATAAATAAAGTTGATTAGGGGAAAATAGTTTGGATGAACAATTGAAGTAGTATTGGGCCTGGTTTATGAATATTGAATTTCACTAACCCATTGGACGCTGGACCTAAGAAGGCCTTAATACGACGCCATATCGAAATTTTGCAGTTTCTGACTCCGACACGAAAAATCGAAGAAAGTAAATTTACTAAAGTTTGTCTAGTGAGTGAGTCAGTGACTGTATAGCCTCTTCGCCGAGCGTTACGGTTTCCTTTCTTTTTCTCTCCTGCAAATCTGTTTTTCGAAAGTATCACCGACTGAAGGAAAAAACATGAACGACGCGAGGAGGAAGAAGAGTGTGAACGGAGGTGCACCGGCGCAAACCAATCCCGATGATCGGAGATCTAGTCTTCCCGAACTTGAGGCTTCTCCGCCGGCGGGGAAGCGAGCTGTCGTCAAGAGTGCGGATATGAAAGAGGATATGCAGAAAGAGGCTATCGATATCGCTATCACTGTTAGCTACACTCTCTCTCTCTCTCTCTATTTCTCCGATTTGTTGTGTATATTCTTCGGATTTAGGGATTTCGTATCTTGATGTCCTTTGAGTTAGGGTATGGGTGATACTGATTGTGCCTGGGGATTTTCAGAAATAGCTCACTGATGTTATCTCTGGAGTTTGATTCGATCTTAGTGTCATCAGCTTTTGGAATCTGAGTTTGATAATATGAAATTTCTTATGTACGGAAATGGATTTTGATCTCATGTAACTATGTTAGTAATTTTCCTTCTGATTGAGCTGTGTTAGTGAAATTCCCAATCGATTTTGTTCAGCTGAAGAGTCTATTGAAGTATCGCTGGAGTGATTATGTATAGTTGCTAAGTAAAGTATCTCTGGATTTCCTTTTGCAGGCATTTGAGAAGTTCGGTGTGGAGAAGGATATAGCTGAGAATATAAAGAAGGAGTTTGACAAGAAACATGGCGCGACTTGGCATTGCATTGTTGGTCGCAACTTTGGTTAGTTCTCTCTTTCCTTGACTTCTCCTCATAAGGCAGCAATGTTTGTACATTAGGAGGATTTTTAGATTCTTGTTCTTGGGGAGATTTTGCCTTTTTAGTTAGGTCATTTGATATTTGCTTCTGCCCATCCTTTGTTGGTTCTCGACTGGTAAAAAAAGTGAGTCAGATCAATGGTTGGTTCTTAGTTGTTCTTCTTGCATTTGATTGGTTTTTGAGCACTTGGCATTGGAGAAAGTTTGGGTTGCATTTGGTCACAATGACATAATGATTGTGGTTTTTGGTACCACAAAGCTTGGTATTATTTCTCTGAAGCAATCAATTCCACAACAGGAAATTTTGATCTAGCCTCAGCGGTATACATTTTGTGTTTAGTCTTTTGAGTTCTGGTGAACAATTTCGATTCTTTTGCATTAGTAAGAAATTTACTGTTCTATAGCATTATGTTGGTTCCACACATTAGCCTCGCAGTTCTTGGATTTTAGCTTCTCTTTTCTAACCAAAAGGTCTTTGGATTCTTATTCATGTGCATAAGATAAGTGCTATGTTGCTTCTTCTGATGTGTCGCTTAGAATCTGATTACTTCGATAATACTCTGCTATTGTTCTTGCCTACAATATTTACTAAGTTCCTTTACCTCTCTCATTTTCCCTCAGGCTCTTATGTAACACACGAGACGAACCATTTCGTTTACTTCTACCTCGACCAAAAAGCTGTCCTGCTCTTCAAGTCCGGTTAAGAAGTTGGAAAACCAAGAAAGCTCATCGTTGGAAAAAATATGTTCAATCGCATTATTCATCATCACGTTGTAGTTAGCTTCTTGTTGTGTAGGTATCTGTGTGTGTGTGTTTCTTTAAGGCTTTAACCAACAAAATTGGAGAATAAACCCGTTAAAAGTCTTTTTAGTATCATCTCGTCGTGCATCTTCAAAATGTATATTTTGAGTTTCCCAGATTTTTAAAACTCAGCTTTGAGAAATCCTAATTTCCCGGTTTTTGTTGCTTTTTCTTCCTTTCATTGGTTCAACCGGTCCAATTGCTATCTTAAAGATGTCAAGTCACAATTACATTTACATAACTTGAATTGAGAAAAACGTTTTTAAACTAAACAGTAAACATGATAGGGAATTGTAGAGATAGACTATTTTAAGAGTTTATGATTGAAATTCGAAAGTTTGAAACTAATTGTAATCTCATGATACTTTCTGGTTATTAACAGGAAAAGTTGTTATTTTCAAAGTTAAGGGGTTTAATATGTGAAGAAATAGAACTTCGGGGGTTGAAAGAGTAAGCTCTGTTTTTAAAAGTACGACTCGTTGACAATTTGACAAGAATATAGAATATTAGCGAATTCCACGATTTAGACCGAAACGAGAACGAATCGATCGGGGAAAATGGCGACGTCGATGATACAGAGGCTGTTTACGCAAGGCACGAAGATCGTCTGCGTCGGCCGGAACTACGCCGCTCACGCCAAAGAGCTTGGCAACGCCGTTCCCAAGGTTCTTCAATCTTTCTCTGAATCATTTTCCCTTCCTTGTGCGTTTAGTTTTTTCCCGAGAAAAAAAAAACCAATTTCCGGGATTCTCATCTTTCTGCAGTCCCTCTGTTGTTCGATGGTTTAGGGAGTTTTTGTGTTATTCGCTGATTGAAAGTTGTGCATGTGTTAGTCATCCCGAGAAAATTGTGATTTTGATTATGAAATTGCATGTCATGACTCATGAGATGTTGATTTGGTCTCAGGAACCGGTGATATTCTTGAAGCCGACGTCTTCGTATTTGGAAAACGGAGGAACAATAGAGATCCCACACCCTCTGGATTCACTTCACCATGAAGTAGAACTCGCTGTTGTGATCGGGCAGAAAGCTAGAGATGTACCTGAATCAGTAGCCATGGAGTACATTGGAGGTATAAATAATCTCATACTGTTTTGCTGCTTCTGAATTCTGTAATTTCATTTCTCATTTCACTTTTTCTTGATTTTTTTTTTTAAATAGGATATGCGGTTGCTCTTGATATGACTGCCAGGGACCTCCAAGCTTCTGCTAAGGTAGATAACTGACTTTTACTTCATATATCAATGGATCTTGTGGGGGTTTACATGTATACAGTGTTCATGTTGGCTGTTTCTTTTCTACTCTTCTTGCTCTGCATTTGCCAAACCTGTGTTAGGGCAGACCCACACAATTGGTCAAAACATTCATTATAGAACTCTGAAAATTATTAGATAAGCCATCAATGGATTAAGATTTACCCTTTTTGGGATCATGATTTTGGCTTTTCAGGCTGTTTTTAACCACTATCGTCACACAGTTCACCAAAATCATGGACGTGTTGTTTTTTTTTTTTTTTTTTTTGCATAAACAGTAATCTGTTTACATTCTCGTTTTCAGGCATCTGGTCTCCCGTGGACGCTTGCTAAAGGGCAAGATACTTTCACGCCAATCAGCTCTGTTGTAAGTATTCATCTGATACCTAGATGCTAGTTTCAACATACCACGTTAAAATTTAACCTCCTTGGTCTCGGTTATATGGAAAAATTGCTACTTTATGGTCTGTTTAACGGACCCATTTTGCTTGCTTTGTCGCATGATTTATATCATGACTCGTTGGAGGAGGTTTAATGCTAGCATAGCCATCTTGACTTGAGGACCATATGGCTATCTTACTAAGCAGTTTTGTTGGATTCCTAGTTTAAACTTTGGTTTCTCTTGCCGTGTTTCAGCTGCCAACGGCCATGGTTCATGATCCAGATAATCTAGAACTTTGGCTAAAGGTTTGTCACTTTCAAAGTTATTTTCCCTCCCTCCCTCCTCTGAGAAGAATCTGCAAAAACTGATGAATCTGTTCTGTGACAGGTTGATGGTGAAACAAGACAAAAGGGTTTGACAAAAGATATGATCTTCAAGGTCCCATACCTCATCAGCTACATAAGCTCTATTATGACTCTTTTAGAAGGAGATGTCATCTTGACTGGTATAACTTCTGTTTTTCATTCATACCAATAACATTCGGAACAAAGCCTAGACTTATAATAGAATGGCCTTAAAAAAAATTATAGGTACACCAGAAGGAGTTGGACCTGTAAAGATAGGTCAGAAGATAACCGCAGGAATCACTGGCTTGTCAGAAGTTCAATTCGATGTGGAGAGGCGTGTAAAGCCCTTGAGCTAAGTGTTTCATTTTCTTTCTTTCATGTAAAAGGTCGAAATCATATACAAACATCTCTATTTTTCATCATTCACTGCGTTTCCATACACTTTTGAGAAAGAGAGAGATATAACGTTTTAAACTCGCACCCCTGTCATTTGTAATTCTCTAAAACAGTGGTTCTTAGATCGGTGATTGGTTAATACAGCATTTGGAATTGTAACGTTGTGATGTTTATTATTGTCGTATACAATATCGGTGATTGGTTCAAATAATCTACACAAGATAGGTTATGAGACGACGTCGTATGGAAAGGACCCATGGCTTGTCAACTTTAATGATAGGTCCAATCAGTTACGTCTCGCGAGGAATTAAAAAAGGATAATTGACGGATGCATTATTTGTATACGACAAATTTCATAAATTTTTGTATACATTGTTAAAAACGATGGAGATATGTCTAATACATTTCACGGTGGGGTTTGATTAGTTTGAGGGAAATGTGGGGGAAAGGGGGTTAGCTCGATCTTGTTGTTTTCCGAGAAAAAGGAAAATAAATAGTTTTTGGGTTTTGAGTTGTTTAGTTGGTGAGACGACTTCGTATAGTAGATAAGTTCTCATGCCATTTAAATATCTATCCAACTTGGACATACGTTATTGGGATATCGTAGAGGTTAATAGGTGATGAGGCCTTAAACCTCTAGAGAGTGTGCAGGATAAAAGTTCCACATCGGAAAGTGGGAGGGACCTTATGGGAGGGACCTTGAATAATATATAAGGGACTGAGGCCTCTCCACCTACTGCCAATTGGTTTTAGGTTGGATGCCAAAGAAACTTAACATGGTATCAAAACTTTTATCTTGCACACTCATTGTATTGTAATAGGAAAAGAATTATCATTGTAGTCATTTGTTTAGAATAACCCATTTCTTATATAATATTAGAAGTGGAAACATATCATCCACTTTCTCACGTTTTATAGACCCGAAAGGAGAAAGTGTGTAGTATCGATCAAAAATGGCAACGTCGAGTCTGTTTAAGCAAAGCACAAAGATCGTCGGCGTCAGCACTAACTACGCCGCTTACGTCAAAGACAAGCCCGTCCCCAAGGTTCTTCCAATCTTTTTATTCTTTTACCTTTTGTTCACTCCAGTTTCTTCTCCTTCTTTGATTTAGCCGATGCCGGTTTAATCCGGCTAATGGATTACTTTTCATCAGCAGTCCCTCTCATATCTCAAGAAATAACTTTGACCTCAAGGTTCACCGAAAATTAGTAGATGATGAACAATAAATGCTTTTGATACCACAAAAGATCCCGATCAAGAGCTTACTAAGACACACGGTTCAACGACTTTCTCTCCATAACTCCATAAACCATGGTGTCTTAAATTAATGCACAAGAAAAGAAACAAACTAACTAGTGGAAGAACAATCCCTATGAGTTAGTCGAAGCTGGTTTACTTGGGTTAATCGATTGGTTCCCTCATTCTCATGGAATGTTGATTGGTGGAACAGGAACCAGTGATATTCTTAAAGCCGACATCGTCCTACTTGGAAAATGGAGGAACAATTGAGGTCCCACATCCTCTGGAGGCACTTTTCCATGAAGTGGAACTCGCTGTAGTTATCGGACAGAAGGCTAGAGATGTACCCGAATCAGTAGCCATGGATTACGTTGGAGGTATTGTTTAACTTCTTGCTTCTTCTATTGTTTAACTTCTTGCTTCTTCTGAATCATGTAAATATAAATTTCGTTTCTTAGCTTGTACATTTCGTCTTCTTGTTTTTAAGGATATGCGGTTGCTCTTGATATGTCCGCTCGGGAAATCCAAGTTGCCGCCAAGGTACGTAGAAAACAAATTTTAGTTCACCTTCATATTAATGGATCTTATGGGGGGTGTTACATGTATATATGCAATTATCGGATATCTTTTTTCACTCTTCCTGGAACCAGTCTAGGTTAAACCCACGTGAATGTTCAAAACATGAATGATCAAATTCTTCCTTAAATCAAAACTCTTGTATTTTAGATCATAACTTGGGCTTTTTAAAAGTGTTTTTAGCCACTATACGTAGTCCATAACCAAAGTCATGGATGTGTGGTTTTACATAAGCAATAATCTGTTTATTTTTGTTAGCATGGGAAGGTAACTAAAGTATATAATTTAGTGTTGTGCTTAAGCATGTATCGTGTTTACATTCTTGTTTTCAGGCATCTGGTCTCCCGTGGGCGCTGGGTAAAGGACAAGATACCTTCACTCCAATCGGCTCTGTTGTAAGTATACATCTGAAACCTAGATGATATGTAGTTTTAGCACACCATAGATTGAATGAAATATGCCACGTTCTGACTGTAATGGACCCATTTAATCCTTTTTTGTCTGATTGCAGCATATGCGGTTAGGATCTTGACATGAGATCATTACATAACCTATCTTGCTGAGTATCTAAAACTCTTTTTTGCTATGTTTCAGCTGCCAAATGAGATGGTGCCTGATCCCGATAACCTAGAACTTTGGCTAAAGGTACGTCCACTCACTCTCTTGTCAGTTTTTGACCTTAAGATCTAAAAAGATCAAACTGATGAATCAATTTTGTGACAGGTTGATGGTGAAACAAGACAGAAGGGTTTGACAAACGATATGATCTTCAAGGTCCCCTACCTCGTCAGCTACATAATCTCTATCATGACTCTTTTCGAAGGCGATGTCATCTTGACTGGTATTTTTACTTCTAACTTCTCTTTTTCTTTTTCCATATACCAAAACATTCGGAACCAAACCTAGACTCATAAGAGAACGGCCTTCAAAATCAAATTATAGGTACACCATTAGGTGTTGGACCTGTGAAGATAGGTCAGAAGATAACCGCCGGGATCACCGGTCTAACTGAAGTTCAATTTGATGTCGCCAGGCGTGTAAAGCCCTTGACCTAAGTGTTTTTTTTTTTAATCTTCTGTGGTAAATAAAGCATCTCTAGTTTTCTCTGTTTCCTTACAATTGAGAAAGAGAGATGAAAAGCTTAAATAAAACTCAGTGTACTCCTTTTATTTGTAATCGACGTATGCTTAAAATAAAAAACTCGTTCTGTTTTTCTTGTGTAACGTTTTAGTCCTAAAATACAATTTGGGGCACTAAAAAGTGAGAAAATAGTCGTGGATGTGTTTACTTATCTCGTCAGGCCTTTCCTCATGGAGAAAATGACCAACGCCTTTCATCACCACGACTTCGTCCAACAACGGCACGTGGCTCTTGAACCTGCCGTCTTCCATGTACTTCTTGGTGCCTGGAACGTGATAGGTCAGATCTTGGTCGCCGATTATGAACTTAACCGGAACTTTGACTTGAGCTTTTGAGAGTGCTCCCATCAGCTCCCATGTTCTGCAAAGAAGCAAAGAAGCAAAGCAGAGATTTTAGAGATCTTGAACCAAGTTTGATATCTCTAATAATATCGCTACATGGATCCGCAATGAGGTTCTACTCGAGATAAGAACGGCCTAGAAACACAAGAACACTGTACCAAACAACTAAAAGGTTTTCTTCTAAACAATACTAAAACGTTATCAAAGCTGATCTAGGCCGTTTCAGGGTTCGAAAATGAACACATTGCTAAAACACTCGTTACTTAAGGCAGGCCAAATGAATTTAGAGTAACATAATTAGAATCACATGATCAAAGCTATACAGGCAAGCGGATGTATTCAAATTTGAGAATTACAAGAAACATACCGGTCCATATTTCGGTAGTAGTTTACAGGTCCAGTGAAGCCATTCTTCTCGTACTTGGAAGCGTAATATTGAACATCATACTCAGTTAGCCAACAGGGCAGTGACACAGGATCATCATCATAGGGGTTTCCTTTAGGTAAGAGTATAGGACCAGGATTACGATACGTTAAGAGCTTCACGAGAACTCGTTCCGTGCCAACTTTAGAGAATTCCTCCTCTATTTCTCCATATTCCTGCAATGTGTAAACCCCATTCTTGTGATTCAGAAACAAACGGCCAAAATACAAAAACATCTATCCTCTCTGCTCTGAATCAAAACAGTCCAATGTCACAATGTCTATTCATTCACATACACTAAACATACGAATCTTGATAAGAACTTTCAGCAGCGAGCAAGCTATCAAAATGTTCATCTCATAACTCTTTTACTGGTAAGCTAATGTTTGACTTGTGAATATGATCAATTTAATGTTTCAACCTGAGTCAACAGCCAAAAGTATAAATTCAAACAGATACTTCACCAAATTGATCTCAAGCTAGTAGTAACTACTGTGTTCTACTCGATTAGAGTCAATTTAAGTTTATTGAGGTGAAGAAGAAGATGGGACCTGAAACCTGCAGATGTAGTAGTCATCGCCGTAGAAGGATTTCATCATCGATATCGGTTTCCGCTTAGGATTCCAAGGTTCAAACACCACACTCATGTTCACCAGAGCTTTAACCCGATCAGGCCGGAGAAGACAGAGATGCCAGGCGATGATTGCGCCCCAATCATGTCCCACCACGAACACCTTCTCTCGAACTCCCACCACCGCGTCGATCAATCCAATCAGATCTCCGACCACGTGGAGACTTGTGTACGCGTCCACGCTCTCCGGCGCGTCGGTGTCTCCGTAGCCGCGCAGGTCCGGCGCGATTGTTCGGTAACCCAGCGAAGAGAGTGCCACCATCTGATGTCGCCATGTGTACCAGAGCTCCGGGAATCCGTGGAGGAAGAGTATCACCGGACGACGGAGAGCTCCGTCGAAAGCACTGTTTCCGTCGACGGAGGGAATTTTCTCGGCGACGTGCATGTTGATTCCATTAACCTTGACAAATCTGTGATGGAAAGTAAGATCCATCGGCAGAGAGAGAGGAAAGAGAAGCTAATAAGAATTTTTCTTGAAGAAATGAATCGAATTTTGATCTTATCCTACTGATCTGCGTTAACTAGCAAGTAGCAACACAGTACAGAGCAATCGGGACCGGTCTGATCAAACTTGGTAGGAGTGGAGGTTTTTTCACTCGGCTAGTTTCGGTTTAACTCGATCATATCCGGTTAAATGCTGTTATTTCCGGTTTTAACAGAGTTAAATTGGATTTCCCGGGCTTTCTTTATCCGATATTTGCTGTAAATTTGAAATCCCAGTGAACAAGATCATAGTTTGGTTCGAATTTCCTGTTTGACTCCAAGGGTATATAGCTGTTCGTATGTATATAGCGTAAATGCGTAATGAAGAGTGTTCTCTTCTCTCTCTTATCTTTCCAAACCAGCTTGTATGTGTATGCTAAGTTCTTTAGATGAAATTTAAGGACAGTAGAGAATATCCACATTTAAGCACATCCACCCAAAATAATACTCTCTAATGTCGTTTAAGATTATTGCACATAAATTAAGAAAACATATTAAAATTTCTGAAAGACCTCTAATTATTACAATAAACTAGGGGTTAAAGCCCGCGCAAGTGCGGCGTTGTTTGCAATAATTTTTCTGTTTGATTTTATTTATATTCATTGATTGAAATTTTGAATTATGATGGTTATATGTTAACTTCCATGTTTTTGTTATATTTTAAGCTAACCCAACAATTAACACTAACAATATGATCAATCTATACTATTAAAATGGAAGCAATCTAGGGTGCATGCTGGAGTTATTCCTGTCACCAAACAGAAAATTATCCCAGTTATCCGAATTTTTAAGAATAACCCGGAAGGGAGTCGGGTCGGATCCTGTTAAAAAGATCATTTACTCCCACGCTTTTCAAAGGAGATTTTTTTGGAGAGAGATCATTTTTGTCCAGGGCATATTTCGGACCTTCTCTGTTTGGAAACAAGTTTAAGCAGAAAAAGTGTGTCAAGTGTAAAAAGGGGCTACACGCCGGATCTTTGACCGACCCGAAAAGAAAACACGCGGATCCTACTACTTAAATCAGACCGATATGAATAAACCAAATAAACCGACAGCGCAATTTGATTTTCAGTACAAAACCGGTGTAGAAGAATTCCTTTACAGAATGAAACGTAATAAAAGGAATCTTAACAAAATGAAAGGTAATAACTTTCGTTATTAATTTCGAATTTAATGTACTCCAGCTCCGATCACCGCACAATCTGCACGATCTTTCCAAATATAATAAGTGCATTTCAAATGTCGAATCCAAGATATCACTAACAACAATCAAAAGATATTCTCTTCCAACAAAATCTAAGGAGTTTCCACTAACCACGCAAAATCAAAAAGTTTTTCCAAAAAAAAATCAAAGATTTATAATTGAATATCCCCTTCCATAAGAATATGCGTGTGACGGGAAGCCCTAAGAAACCCTCCCATCTACTATAAATATACGATTAGAAAACCTAGAAAAACCACAGAAAAACACATCGATATTCTAATAGAAAAACTATCTTCTCGGCTTTTACAAGTATATCATCACGCATATTTAGTCAAAACAGTGCTATGAGTAATGAGGCAACTTCACTAAATCACTATTTTATATCATTCTCGATATATTCTAATTGCAATTTTCAATCTGTTTCAGGATCTGAAGAGAGAACATCTTCAAACGTTTTTTCAAAATTCTACTTTCAAGTATGATTATTTGTCAGGCGTTCACAAAGCTTAAGATATCAAACCTTTCAAGTCTTCTTGGTGAATCCGTGTGAAAACTTTCCACATTTGGAAGCAGTTCAAGGCACTCTCTGGTGAAACAATGAAGGTCATACAGGCAGACGAAACTGTAAGAATACATCCAATTAAACATGTCTATTATTTGTTTCACACTGTCTTTGAATTAGTAAATGTATCAGTTTCGTGTTTTGCACCTTTTTACACGTTTTCAGAACTTCTACAAAACCCATGGCTGCACCACTTCCCAATTCTTTCCTAAACGACGTCAAGCCTTTCCAAAACATTTGCAAAATCCAAGTTGAAGTCCTGCATTCATGAAAACAATCAATCAACAAATCAAGAGGGCCATGTCTCAAAGAGGTATTTCGGAATTTGGGAGTCTTGGTGTTATAACAACTGTTTCTTATCTTCTTTATTGTCACAGGATTGAATCAAGAGATAATATCTCATCAAAGATCAAACATCACGAACAACACAGAAGAAAACTTGACTGAGCGAAGAAGTCATAATTAGAATTATACTTTAGCATCGCTATCTACTTTATGTGAATTGTTTTAGATATGTAGGGCACTGTTATTATGTTTTATGTCTTACTAATTTTTTTTTGTTCTTCTATGAAACAAAAAAAATATCTATCAATGAAACGTTACATCTTTAAAGTTCCACTCTGAAGTTAAACATTAAAGCGGGAAGCGGGAGTTGTGTTGGAGGAAATGCACAGCTAAGGAAAGCTTAACAATCAAGAATGTATTGTATTCACACAAAAATTACGTATAAGAAAAGTTTTCTATTCAGCAAAAGAAAAGTTTTAAAGAGATCATCAGAACAAAGCTGTTTGTCTAATGCAATTCAGTTAATCTGGAATAAAAAATATAAGTGTATAAGATGAGTAGGATTTGTACTAACATTCAGAGTTGAAATTCGATGCTATTTTGAGTAAACATATTAGTTGTAATGACATATCTCTTCTTCTTTGTCCTCACTTTCATATATAACACAACTCTTCATGAAAATGATCAAAAAACAAAACCCATTCAATAACATTTTTTTATATATGATCTCAATAACACTAATTCTAATCCATATATGATCTCTTATTATTATTAGTCTTATAATATTATTGAGACCATATTTTACATAGGAGTTTTAAAAACATTATTATCTTATTATCTTATCGAATTGTGTCATATTTTACACCGGCCCAACTCGGGACCGAAGAAATTTATTAATTTATTGTGTTTATTAATTTATCGGATAATAATTTATAGAGTTTCTACTGTATGTTGTTAGTCATCTAATGTGAGTAAAAAATATTAACATTGACGAAGCTTCATATTTATGTAAAATTTGTTAATATAAATTAAATATTATACTTTGTACTTATTATACATTATTGATCTGGCTAAGTTTAATTTATTAACACATGATTATCAACTTTCTACTTTGTAAAATCATAAAATTATGTTAAAATAAAGTTCACAACTTCCTATGTTATGGTAACATTTGTTCGACTAAGTTCACAAATTTAGTTAACCCAACGTTAACAACATTATGGGTCAGAATCAACATTTGTTTAAGTGACTGAAGTTCTAACTTCCTGCGTTATAGTTACATTTGTTCAATTGACTAAAATTCACAAATTTAATTAATCCAAGGTTAACAACATCAAGGGTGAGAACCAACATTTGTTCAATTGACTAAATTCACAAATTTAGTTAATTCAAAGTTAACAACATCACCGGTGAGAACCAACATTTGTTTAATTGACTCAAGTTCACAACTTACTGTGTTATAGTTACATTTGTTCAATTGACTAAAGTTCACAAATTTAATTAACCCAAAGTTAGCAACATGATGGGTGAGAACCAACATTTGTTCAATTGACTAAAGTTCACAAATTTAGTTAACCCAAGGTTAACAACATCACATATCAGAATCAACATTTGTTTAATTGACTGAAGTTCACAACTTCTTGTGTTATAGTTACATTTGTTCAATTGACTATCACAAATTAATTAACCCAAGATTATCAACATCACGGGTGAGAACCAACATTTGTGTTTCAATTATTATAAAATGAAGAACCAACATTTGTGTTTCAATTATTATAAAATATGAAGATGTTGCTCAAAAACTCCGTTCTTCATTTTTTTGGTAGATCTTAAAATGGTGTTAAAATAGGAACATCAAACATCATGTTTGCTTATCTTCTTCACAAATCCAAAGTGTATCTCTTTCTCTCTCCATGGATCCTCAAGAAGAATAAAAAAAGGAGAGTAAAAAAAAATCAAAACCTATAATTCATCACCATCTAAGTTCAACTGTAGAAAGTAATGAAGGTGTATTCTCATAAACATAAGAAAATTATCACTTCATAAAGCGAATCATATTCCTTAAGCTTCTTATTAGGTGAATCGACAGGTCACAAGCAAGAAGGAAAAGTGAGAAATATCAAGAAAGATAAAAAGAAACATGAAATAAACCTTTGGATATTTTAAAGACTATTTACCCAAACATGTGAAAAGAAAATGATGACATCAAAATTTAAAGGTGTTGCTAACCTCAAAAACTTCGGTTTTTGTTTTTTTTGTAGATGTTAAAATGGTGGAAATGGCCGGGTAATAGAAACATCAAACATCAAGTTTGCTTCTCTCCTTCACAAATCCGAAGTGTATCTTTTTCTCTCTCCATGAATCCTCAAGAAGAATAAAAAAGGGAGAGTAAAAAAAAAATCAAAACCTATAATTCATCACCATCTAAATTCAATTGTGGAAGGTAATCAAGGTGTATTCTCATAAACATAAGACAGTTATCACTTCATAAAGCGAATTGTATTTCATAAGCTTCTTATTAGGTGCAGGATGTAAATACCTTTTGGTATTTCAAAAATATCTACCCAAACATGTGAAAAGAAAATGACAGCATTAAAATTTAAAGGTGTTGCTAACCTCAAAAACTTCGTTTTTTTTTTGGTAGATGTTAAGATGGTGGAAATCGTTGGGTAATAGGAACATCAAACATCATGTTTTGTGTACTCTGATTTCGCAGGCAAGTGAACGAAAATTGCTTGAGCTTAAGGGTTTACCTGAGCTACATATTGGAGTCGGAAGGCCGCAAGTAGCCACATATGAGAAACCAATTTGAATCGAAGACGAAGAGAACTATATCCGGTGAAATTAGCTCAAAACCCCAAAAAAAAACAATTTCGGATTCATCGAGATTTAGTAATTT